AAGACATTACAAGAAGAGAAAATTATAGGTCAATATTTCTCATGAACATGGATATAAAAATTCTCAACAAAATATTAGAAAATCAAATCCAGCAATGTAAAAAAAGAATTATACACCACAACAAAGCAGGATTTATCACAGACATGCAAAACTGGTTCAACAAAATCAATTAATGTTATCCATCATACCCACAGGATAAAGAAGAAAAATCACATGACCATATCAATAGAGTAAAAAAAAGCATTTGAGAATATCTAACACTCATTCATGATTTTAAAAAAGGGGCAACTTCTTCAATTAATAAAGAACATCTCCAAAAAAACCTACAACTAACATCATACTTAATGATGAGAAACTTGAAGTTCTCCCACTAAGATCAGTCAAGGCAAGGATGTCCCCCCCTCTAACCACTCTTTTTCAACATTGTACTGGAAGTACCAGCTAATGCAATAAGACAAGAAAAGGAAATAAAAGGTATACAGATTGGGAAGGAAGAAATTGAATCATCTTTGTTCACAGATAACATGATTGTCTATGTAGAAAATGAGAAAGAATCAACCACAGAAACACTTCTAAAGCAATTATATAATAGCAAAGTGGCAGGATACAAAGTTAATATATGAAAGTCAATTGTTTTTCTATATAACAGCAATTAAGAAGTAAAAATTGAAATTAAAAACAGACTGTCATTTGTATCAGCACCCTCCAAAATGAAACACTTGGGTATAAATCTAACAGAATTTGTATAAGATCTATATGGGGAAAACTACAAAACTCTAATGAAAGATATCCAAGAAAAACTAAATAAATGGAGGTGTATTCCATGTTCATGTATAGGAAGACTCTATATTGTTAAGATGTCAGTTCTTCCCAACTTGATTTATATATTTGATGCAATCTCAATCAAAATCTCAGCATGTCATTTTGTAGTTATTGATGAACTGATTTTAAAGTTTATAAGGAGAACGAAATACCCAAAATACTCAACATAATATTGAAAGAGAAGAATGGAGCTAAATGACTGACACTATCCAACTACAAGAATTAATATAAACCTACAGTAATCAAGAGAATGTGATATTGAGAAGAAAAAAAAAGACAAATAGATCAAAAGGAGAAAATAGGGAGCCAGGGAGCCTACAAATAGATCCACATAAATATCATCAACTGATGTTTGACAAAGGAGCAAAGACAGTCCATTCAACAAATGATGCTGGAACAAGTAGATATCCACATGCAAAAAAAAAAAAAAGGGGGGGAATTTGGACACACCCTTCACAAATGTTACCTCAAAATGTATGACAGACCTACATGTAAAATGCAAAACTATGAAACCGTAGACGATGGCATTGGAAAAAACCTAGATGACTTTGGGTATGGTTATGACTTTTTAGATACAACACAAAAGGCACAACGTATGAAAGAAATAGTTGATAAGCTGGACCTCATCAAAATTAAAAACTTCTACCCTGAAAAAGACAACATGAAGAAGATGAGAAGACAAGCTACAAACTGAGAGAAAATATTTGCAAAACACACATCTAATAAAGGACTGTTATGTAAAATACATAAAGAACTCTTAAAACTCATCAAGAAAAGAAAAACTTGATTCATCAGGTGTTGGGCAGGTGGGAGGGGGGTGGTGGGGATG